CTATGAAATATTCTTTTACACTCATTTCATGGACGGACGTACGCTTGCAGAGACCCCACCAACTCCGAACAGAATTAAGACAAGGGCGTGTTTATTTATTTTGGGATCAGGAAGTCGATATTTTCGCAACATCTGAACGAAATGTTCTACTTTTGTTTGCTGGGCTATTGTACAATGGAACGCTTAAGTCGAAAGTATCAGACTCAAAGGGGGAAGAATACGAAAGCCTGTTGGATACCATGTGCGTCTGAGTATGTTTTTAGTTTGGTTTTTTATAACATATTGTTTCTATGATTTTTTTTTTTTTATATAAACCTGCGTTAGGCTACATTTTATCCGTGTATCCGCATCCTACATCAAGAGAATAAAACACCTGCTGAATGTTTACCAGATTTATATATTTATATATATATATATATATATATATATATATATATATATATTACTAACAAATGGCCATTTTAATGTCTATGAATCAAAATTGACTGGAAAGCAAGAATAGACAAAGAATTATTTTATTATATGAAAGCACTGTAAATAATTTAACTGTCGTGATGCATTCTACGTAAAATGGTTTTATTATAGAAATGATTTTAAGAAAATAGTACAAATATTATTGCTATAAACTGTTATTAATTTTACTATAAAATGCTTTGAAAATCAGGGGAAAAGATTGCCAGAAGACGAGAATTCATGTTATAAGTATGGACTGAGTACTGGTATTTAGTATAACATATGGAAAAATATTTAAAAAAAAACAACATAAATTCAAAAATAGATAAGCCGAAACGCTACTAAAAGGAGATTCTATTTTATATAGTATAACATATCGAAAAATTATTTAAATTGTCCATTTTCGGAACATAAATTTTTAAAAATACTTTATCCCCAAATTCTTCTTATTTCAGATACTTAGTATATCATGTTATATAAATGCTTTTGTATCTGAGATGAGGTATTATGTACACTATTTACATTGTTCGGACTATCGAAGTATCAAGGACACATGGCACAGTGGATAAAGGCGTTAGTTAATGACAGGACACAAAGAAATTTCAATACCCGGTTAAGGCAGTGGAGAACTTTCAGAGGGAAAATAACAGGAGATAACTGATAACTGACATCCATTAAACATGGCATTTCAGAACAGTCTTATATCAAAGGGTTATATTGGATAAATGGAGACCGAAAGGGACGACCAAAACTGTGATAAATATGATTACAAAGATGAGGACGATAGTCCGAACAATGTAAATATAAATGTTTTTGTTAATGGTTTGTATCTTAAATGGAAATAGAAGGGACTGTCAGATTAGGAATAGATAGAAGCAGTATGATGTATTATAAATGCATTGCTAATGATTTTAATATAGATATACATCGAAAATCAGGAAGGAAAGTATTTTCAGTGGTCAGAAATTGGAATAATTAATGAGAAATGAGGATTCATATCCGTAAAATAATTCATTCTTTCGAGAATATGTGTCCAAATGAACGACGGAGCAGCAAATGTTTTAAAACTATAGACAAAAATAACAGATAACTATAAGTTATAAATATGGTATACAGTAATCATCATTTTTTATCTAAAATATTATAAAATCTGATTAATACGATATATATTAACCAGTAACACCCCTCTCTCTCTCTATATATATATATATATATATATATGTGTGTGTGTGTGTGTGTGTGTGTGTGATTAATAAAGATTTTGCAGATCTCGGCTACGCATGCGCACCTCCCTACACCTCTTTACCCACGTCACATTACCTCGTCAATACTAAAGGCTTATAAAAATCTTTGTGCCCTAGTCTTATATAAATAACAATAAATACATTCCCTTAATAAGAAAAAAATAAAATTTTATTTTTACAGTTATTTTCTTCTGCTTTGATGTATTTCTTTCTTTCTTTCTTTATCTTCACGTTAATGTTTCCACACTTTCTTTTTTTTACTTGTCACCCCAACCATCTTTCTTTCCTCGCCTTCTCAAATATTCAAATTCTTCCAGTGGCTCGTTTTTTTTTTTAGTTTTTAGTTTTTTTTATTTTATTTTATTTTATTTTTGCATTTGAAACATAACGAACTAAATGCAGATACCAGCTGCCGAGTTTATTTTCATCACCATTACTCCTAAAGAGATTATCCCAGATTAGGAGATAATCTTTACGGTAATCCGTTCGTTGATTTGTTTTACTTATCTTTCTATCTTATATTCATCTTTAAATGTTGTTTGGTTTCATTCCGATACAGATTTATTTTCTTTCTTTCTTTCTTTCTTTCTTTCTTTCTTTCTTTCTTTCTTTCTTTCTCCCTTACATTTCAGTTATTTCTTTCTGGTGCGACTGCTATATGATGTAGGATCGTATGCACGACAAAGTTTCACCCCCCCGCCTTTATAACACTCACACTGCAAACAGCTTTCGCCACATAGCAGATGATTAACATTAAAATTAATTAATCATCTGCGAGACCAAGATCTGTCTTGCATCAGCATGGCTGTTGCTGTTTTTCCAGGAGAGTGACTCGCTTCGCCTTCTAGGGCTAACGTTATCGGCTTTCATGGAGTGGAAAGAATCTATTGAATCCATTGCTAGGTCACCTGTTAAGAAGGTTGCTTCACTGTGTCATGCTAGACAATTTTTCTCTCCAGAATCTATCTTACATATCTATAAGTCTACCATTCGTCCATGCTTAGAATTTTGCTGTCACATATAGCCCGGTGCTCCTGCTATTTACCTAGAGTTCCTCGAAAAAGAATCAGCAATATTATTGGACCCCATCTAGCGTCACAGCATCAGTAACTTTCCTACCTTTGCAAGGTTGTCTCCCTTTACCTATTCTATAAATACTTTAATCTGCAAAAATTTAATTGCAATGCCAATCGCTATCTACTGTCCTCCTGATTACTCTTGTTCTCGCTCCTTAGCAATGTTGTTGTTTCTAACTCTTCCATACCCAAGAACCGCTTGCGTCTTAGTGGCTTTACTGCCTTGCTTAAGGGGAACTCGATAACAAAAAAAAATCTAATAAAATACCGAATGGCGATTCAATTACCGTCTATATTCATGGTTTTCAAAATTATCTTTTAAGCACAAATAGAAAAAAAATGAAAAGCGACCCGAACACGGGTAATTACTTCCGTTACACTTTTGTACCAAATACATTTACGGTCTAGAATATTCATGCCGATCGGCATTTCTGTACCTAATACAAGTGCCGTCCGTCTAGAATGGCTATGTGAGTTGGCATTTTTATGTGTTAAATGTTATGACATTTGGAATCGCGATCCTGGCGGAGATTTTTGTACTGGATAGAAATACCGTCTCGAATAGTCATACTGGAGGTACTTTTTCTTGTACCAAATACAAGTGCCGTTAGGAATATTGAATGATTGATTAATTCATTCATTGATTCTTTACGGCTTATCAAACTCTTGTAGGTTATTTACAACAAGAAATCTTATTTTTTAAATTGTAAGAAGCCTTTTTTTAGATAATAATGATTTAGTGATATAATCCTTACTAATTAACCCGTGGCTGGAGGGAAAGGAGATGGATTCATATCTTCCCCAAGAGTATTTGCGCGTAAGAAATGCACAATACTAGTAGCATCAAAAGAAAAATCTTTCTTTTGACACACCCCTTTTTTTGTGGGTACGTTTGTTAAACTATACCAGATCTCAATATTTTGAACCTCAGTACTTTCAGCCGGCATTTTTGCCGTGTCCCTTCAGGAGGTTGTCGATTTTAACTCGCTATCGATTTTGCTACTACTTATCAACTCTTTGCAGGTCATTTAAAGCCAGAAAATATTTTTAGATTGTAAGAATTTTTTTTAGTAGAGATGGAGTTTAATAATGGTTTAACTGATACACATCTTACTAATTAACCCATAGCTGGGGAAGAGGTGGATCCATACCTTTCCCACTGTGTATTGTGTTTTTAGAAGCGTAGCTTAGATGTGACACAAGGCCGAAAGTAGGGGGCATCCAGTGAGGATCGAACTCACTACTCAGTTGTACATGTTCTAGCGAAACAAACTTGCTAATCATTACACTGCCTCGAGATGCCCCCTTTCCCAAGTGTTTTTGTGAATATAACGAACCCAAATGCATTGGAACTCGGCTCTCCGATTAAGAATTCTGGGCCATTATCCGTTACACGACTCGTACATCTAATCTTACAGCACCTAGTATTACCAAGCGGTCACCCATCTAAGTATTGATCAGGCTCGAAGTTGCTTACGTGCGGTGATCGTACGAGAACCGGTGCCTCATCGTGACATGACCGAAAGCTTCCATCACACCATCCGCACATCTAAACTCGCAGCACCTGGTATCCACAAGCAGTCGACCATCTAGGTACTGCTTAACTTCGGTGATCATACTGGAACCGGTGCTTCAACGTGATATGACCGTAAGTTGCCGTTAGGAATAGTTTTGTGCTTAGGAATGTGCGTACCAAATACAAGTGCCGTGTGGAATAATTATGCCGGTTGGAATTTTTCAACTTATAAAAGAAACGAAAATTTTGTATTGTTGAAAATAATAATAATAATAATAATAATAATAATAACAATAATCGTGCCGCGGTGAAAATTATTTAAAAACGGGTGGGTGATAATTTAATGAAATAATCGTGCTAGCATTTGATAACATCAACACCGTGCACACCAGGAACGATTAGAAATAGCAGGTAGCTTTAAATGAAGAAAAAAAATATTCACCCGTAAACTATAAAGACGAAAGAAATAATAAAATACTGAGTTTTCAGCATCTGAACTTCATTAAATTACAAGTAGTAATTGGTATATAAAGTTCTTACGGTAGTCAAAGTTAATAGATATATATAGTCCAAAGTTATGTGTTATTTTATATCTTTATTCCTTAAAATAAGACTTTGTTTGTGCCTATACTGTTGGTTCAATCATTTGCACAGTTCTCAGTAGGCCACATTTCCTTCCCACTCATATATGCATTCATTCATTCTTCATCATCATCATCGTCATCATCACCATCTCCTTGACTTTTGTAATCGTAGGGCGGATCCGAATGCAGAAGCCATATTGAAACTCCTCCACAACGGTCTATCAAAGACAGACATCAGCAGTTCTGGTATAATCATACTTGTCCATTGTTTCACATTGTCGAACCCGTTTTTGCGTTGACGTCCTCTCCTACGTCCACCTTCAACGGTGCATTGCATGATGGTTTTGCACAGACTCTCGTGATTGTAGTGTTTAAACCACACCATTTTTCTCCGTTTGACAATGGCGAGAGGAGGTTTATTATTTTTGATCTAATTTATTGTTTTCTCGTATTATATGTGTATTCCAATGTCACTTCATTAGTTATTCTGCTCTCTTACTCAATAATTATTATAGAGCTCTTAAATTACATTTTTCCCTGTTTTCTATGCGTGGATGTATATTTAATATGCACATAATTAACTTATTCTGTCATTAAACAGTAATATGTACTGAAGATTAATATGTTAGCTGTCTAAATCCTTGGAATTTGCATAAATCCATACAGTTATCATTTTTGTTGCTATTGTTTTTTGATGAATTTATTTTTAATTATTTCGCCCTAGAGAAAGAAGATAAAGCCACTAAGACGCAAGGTGATTACTGAGAGTGAAATAAAATGTGTTTTTTGATGTCAACGAACACTCGTTGCCACTTTTGTGATGCCAACGAATAGTCATTGCCACTTTCGTAATGCTCGTTAGAGTAGAGACTTTGTAATCGCAGATACAACTATAGTAACGCCGTTGAACAATACTGGTGCCATACGCCTTCGAATAACACTCGCACTAATAGTACTTGTTCGATAATGCTCGAATCGTAATCCGTATAGTGATCCGAATAGAGAAATAATATAGTGAATAGAGTAGAGAATAGCGGTCCAAATAGTAATTGAGGATAGAATAGAAATGGCGATTCATTAGACGTCACGCGTCTTCCTAGTTATGTGTTATTCTATGCTCACGTGGTCTACATTAATTCAATAATGGGATCGCCTGTGTTTGCTCACTGCCGATCTATGTTCAAGCTCAAGTGTTGGCAGCGACACTTTATTCCTACATAAGAATGTGAAAACGTTGGTGAGGAGTACGGGGAAAAAGAACAGGACTAATGAAGATAAAAGACAGCGATTGACACTTGACGCAAAACATAACGAAATTTCTTAAATAGTCTCGCATTCTGGTTAGTTGACTATTCAATCTTAGTTATTTTGTCATTACTAACTGTTTTTCCCCATTACTTTTACTTTCCTTCCGTTTCACTGAGTAGTCTGCTACACCCATACTCTAACAAATTCTAGTTCATGATGTCTAACCGTAGTCTCCTTACAGAATTTTATGTTTATTCCTTAAAACAGGTTCCTGTTTATGCGTATAGCATCGGTAGGTTTGTCAAGAGGTCACCCTTTCTACCAACTCGTGTCTACGTTTCTTACTGCTGATCTATTATACAGTCTGAGGCCTATCTCTGTTTCATTTTTATTTACTTTTTGATCTTTCCAATCTGATTTAATTAATACAATTTGTTCTTATTTAATTCAGTCACTTTCCCACCGCCGTAACGTAGTTTCCCAGTACTCTTTCCATAAATACTTTCATGGCAATTGTTCTGATGAATTTTCCTCTATAGAACTGAGGCTTTATAAATTTAAGCGCAATACTAGATTGGCCGCAATATCTCATCTTTTTAAGGTTGAAATGGCGAGATGTATTCGTAGGTTCTTTGCTAAAAGTTTCTTTTTTCACACTTCTCGTTTTCTTCTGGCTTCTTGCTTCCCAGTGAATTTTGATCTTCAAAAATTTAAATACAATTTCAATTGTCTACGCTTGTGTTCTTGATTCCTGCTCTTTTATTGTTCTCCCTCCTTAATAACGTTTCTCTTTTTCTTATATTATTTCACACTCTAAAATCTGAAACCCTTGCGTCTTAGTGGCTTTATTGCTTTGCTTAGGATGAAGTGATCTAAAAAAATTATCTAGATCGTTATTTATAGACATATAGTTTCTTTTTTATATACCATCCTCAGAACCGTGTTGTTGCAATTAGAATTCAATTATTTGTTTGTGAAAGTCTATGACCTTAATTTTGTTTTAATCTGTCTATTGCTTTGGTAATTCCTGGTCTTTCATTTATCTTACTATCTGTAATTTTATAGTCAATATGTTCTCAAATGTGTAGTATTTAGTAGTTATTAATAGAAATCCAATATCCTGACTATTTTCCTACTGTTCCCAAAAGTCAAGCCGATGGAAGTAACGCTATTGCCTGCAGCGTTTCGATTCTCCGCTCGGATTTCTATTCCTACTGATCTTTTTCCAAGATGAATCAGAACAGTTCGAATCGTTCCTATAATGATGAGTACGATCTAATCTCGCATCCACTCTCTTTATTCTCTTTCTTCCCTCTGGTGGCGGAGATGGCTGTGAAGATCCAGCCTAAACCTGAAGAGTAGTCAAAGAGAGTTTGACGAACCCAGTCGCATGTTTTTTGTGGACAACTCTCCGCGACGGTTAAGCCCACTCACTTGGCCAGAAGCGCGTCCCTCACGGCTCAAAGGGGATTGGGACAGACGTGATCTGGCAGACGTGGCTGCATCGGGCTGTCGGATGAATAGTCTGTCAAGGTCCGCCTTGGTTAGGCCAACCTGACTGGCGTTGCCCTCTGTTTGGTCGTTGGGATCGTGTGCCGATTCCACTGTTGGGGTTTTCGGGATTTGCTCGTATTCAGTCTTGGTAATATTTTTCTTTAAAAATTTATTGCTGGTAATAATTTTTTACAAAGTATTTCTGGTATTAAAACCTATTTTTACACATTCATAGTGTTTTGACCACTGTTTGGGGTTAACTATTTGCCCATAGCTGGGACCTTAACAGGTGCTACTACTCCGGCCCAGGGTGGACCTAGGAATACCAACAGTTAAGAGGTGGTTCCACGCTCCTCAATACTTCCTGTTGTTTATCGTCTTACCCAGGACGCGGATGTATTTTACCGGCACACCCCATACGTTTTTTTGGGGTGCAATAAGAATTGTGCTTATTGATTATCTTCAAAAGTGTCACGCCATGAATGTAGAACACTATGCCACCTTGCAGAGGCAGATCCGAAAGGCTATCAAGACGAAACTCCCAGAAAATCTTACAAAAGGGGTATTTTCATCAACTCAATGCTCCATCATAGAAGTCCTTTTTTTAACATTTCACCCCAAGCAAGGCGGTAGTACCACTGGTTCGCAAGCGGTTACATAGATGAGAGAAAAACTGTGTATTGGGGCAATGAGGAAAGAATAAAAGATGAACAGGGTTCAAGACATCAGAAGATGGCGATTGGCCTCGCATTTAAAGTTTTGAAGATTGTAGTTATCAGGGAAGCAAGTAAACGGAAGGGAGCTCCACCGGCAGGAAGTGCGAGAAAAGAAGCTTTTCGGGGTAGAAGTGGCGGTTGCATTTAACTATTTCAGCGGTAAAAGAGTGGGACCTAGATGCTAACCTAGTAGCACGCTTAAATTCGTGTAGTCGGGCACCAGAGGGAGAAAAAAAACTCGACAGAACATTTGCCATGAAAATATTTGTAGAAAACACAGAGTGAAACCACATTACGTCCGTGGGAAAGTGACTCGAGTCGAGATGCTAAGTCAGGATCGATTATATTGCAGATTCCTCTTTGGATTTTGTCGAGAACCTCGTGATGAACAGCAGGAGCAATAGACCAGAAATGGCAGCAGTACTTAATGTACGGACGAATGGTAGATTTGTAGATATGAACTCTGACGAGGAAAACCTTCTGGCACGACACAGTGAAACAACTTTTCTTGCAGCAGATGCAGCTATTGATTCTATGTAGTTGTTCTACTTCAAGTGGTTTCAATGGCTGGTGTGCGTAGCTGTGGCTACGAACTGGTTGATCACCCTCACTAATCTCCTGCTTTGGCTATAATATATTCTCTAACATTAAAAACACGAGCCTGGAAAGAAGTATTAAGATGATGATGACGTCATATCTGTAGTTGATGACTTTTTTGAACAACAGGATTAATAAACTTCTTTGAGCATTCAGATGTCAATTTATCAGGAAAGAAACAAGGCAGTTATCAATAATAAGAACTAAAATTAATGCAAGATTTCACAGCTCTAGAATCACTCCTTCATAGTCAGCCTATGACCTGTTCAGCCCATCCTCGTAGTTTTATAAACACTTCGGCGTTAAAGTGTAACATTTGATAATGGCAATGGTAATATTAACTGTTTCCTTATACGGAAACATTCGGCACTCACTGAACGAGCAGCCAGTACTGCCGTTGGTTGAAATTTATATCTTTCTCTTTAAAAGATTTTCATGAAAATAGGTTTCTCAAGTTCACTATATGAAATAATAGTTACTGAAATAACATTGTTACATTATCTTTGATACTCAGAGCGTACACACGCACATACACAAAGAAGAAAAAATCAACCTCACCCCAATAAGTTGCGCGTAGATTTTTTTTTTTAAGTTAATATAATAATAAGGAAAATGAGAAAATTGGCATTCAATTGCTTAAAGCACCTGACGAGTGAACCGAACAATTACAAAAAGGTTTGTCTACGAAACACTGGAGTCAGGGTGCTGAATTTTCCTCCTCTCTCTCTCTTTTTATATATATATATATATATATATATATATATATATATATATATATATAAATATAAAAAGAAAAAAAAGTAGATATATAATCCGGTGTTCTTATAGATATTTTTATTTTTATAAAATAGTGCTCAATGTAAATTTACAGAGGTTTAATATTATAAATTAATTGATTTAAAATATGTTTTTTTTCGCTACACAGTTCTAACCAAGATGAAATGGAACTAATATCTTTAATTTAATTACAAAATTAAATTCGGAGCTTTCAGCTTCCATTTTTGAAACATGGTTAGAACTGTGTAGCAAAAAAAATATTTTAAATCAATTAATTTAATAATATATATATATATATATATATATATATATATATATATATATATATATAGAGAGTCGATAAAAAAGTTTTGGCTAGACCAACACATTAAAATCTGAGCAAACAGCAAATTTTTTGGAAAGGACTCTTTTGTCGATTCATACGTGTATGTATGTACAACAGGAGCTATTGGTTTATACCAACGGCTTTCCATACTTAACACTTTTCTTCATTTTCACTCTCACGTGGTCATGTGTGATGTCATGAACCGCAATACGATATTCTGCTTCCTGCGTTTTATATGCACGAATTTATCGTTGCATAGCAATCTTCTATGCAAACAAAATAAAACTATCATTGTTGCAATGTCCGCATAACCATTCTAAAACAGATATTACCACCTTTGTTATATTATTTAATTTATTGTAATGTACTTGTAATCTCTGATGATGGCTTATGTAAGCCGAAAGCTTAGACAGGATTAACAATAAAAACACGTATCAACATAGTGATTTTCTTTCGTGTTTCAGTGATAATGCTAAAAACTTATTCGACAATATGAAAGGAATTTACTTAAATCGGCAAAACTTGTCTATATTATGTAATGAAACACGCATTAATGAAAAATGCTGCACACACACACACACACACACACACACACACACACACATATATATATATATATATATATATATATATATATATATATATATATATATATATATATATTCATAGAGTCTGGAAGAATCCTCAACAGCATGCAGAAAGCACTGGATGGATCTTTGAGTTTCCTCAGCAGTGCGCATCCACTACCGAGAACCGAAGCATCATACCACTGGACCTACGCTCCTCAGTCAGGACGAAGAAACTATATATATATATATATATATATATATATATATATATATATATATATATATATATATATATACAAACTAGTCACAACACATTACATTGCATCTAGACATATGGTTCTGTTGTTAATATTTCGTGGTACGGCGTCATCAATTTACGACCTGCGTCTGCTTTTCTGCGACTGTTATCGTCGCATAGTTATCTTCTATGTCAGTTTAACAGAATATCATCTTTGATGGTAAATATCTTTGTTTAAATGTCTATATAACTACTCTGAAGATGGCTCATGTGAGCCCAAAGCTTAGATCAAGAAACAGATTAATAAAATTATTGTCTTTATTTTCACCTGAAATTAAAGCAAGAATATGAAGTTTAAAATGGTCCATGATCAAACATAATAAACATTCATATTTATATGTTTAAATATATATATATATATATATATATATATATATAGAGAGAGAGAGAGAGACAGAGATGAACAGAGCCTGGCAGCTGATCTCACATCTGACCTAGCTCTAACAGCTTAGTGGGAGTAAAACTGGCTGGTCGCATTCAATGTCGCGGAAACTAAACTAGTGACTCAAGCTCAACCCAAAGCCCAAGTGAAACTCGTACATCCGATCCATCGCTAAAAATATTGGAAAAATGTTCGGCAGCCCTCCAGTAAGTACCTGACACATCCTGCTATCCTCTACCCTTATAAGAGTCAGATCAGGACGAAAATGGCGTACTTCGGCCATATATAAACAGGATCTGCCCAATCTGCAATTTCCAGCCGAAAAACGTCTCTGCGGTACTGTGTGTGATCATTTTCCTCCCTAATATTTTCCCACAGACGAAACGTTGCAAGCATCTCGCTGCTCTACCGCTCTTTCCATGGGAAAATGTTCAGACGATCTACATTGCCTATCTCCACCAGTTCCAAACTTTGCATCTAAGAGCCGCCATGCTATGCACGTTGTAGAGAACTGCCTTCATTCCCTTCGTATTCCATTGCTGGGATGTAAGTCCGACTCGAGCTTTTTTTTTCCACGAACCGCTGCTTTGTGGAACCAATTCTCAAAAGGACGCTTCTCCGATTACTACAATCTTAACTGTTATCTTTCCCACATATCCTCATAAACTGGGCTCCTTATATCTTACTCGGTAACCATCTACTTCGAGTGGCTTTTGGGGCTTGTACAGGATGAAACTTATTGTAAAAAAAGAAAGAAATAAAGAGTGAAAGAAAGAGGAAGAAAGAAAGAAAAAGAAAGTGAAAGAAAGGATTTATGCTAATGATTACGCCGAAATGGAGAAAAGAAGCCCGAGTTAAAAGGATTAAGGCGAATTTTCACACAGATCGATATTTCGAACCTTTTAAAACATCGAAAATAAAGTTTCTTAAGCATCCCGCGTAGAAGAATTGATTGCACTTATAATTCGTCTCCTTTTCTGAATGCAGAATCTTTTGATTAGACGAGAAATTCCGTTAATCAATAATACAAATATTCTGGGCGCCGTACCTGTCCATATGTATCTATCTGTTTCATATCTATCACATACTGTTTCATATCTATCTATCTATCTATCTATCTATCTATCTATCTATCTATCTATCACTGACTGTTTCATATCTATTTATCTCTCTATCTATAATAATAATAATAATAATAATAATGATGAAAATATCGATTAA